ACCCTGGACTGGTTACCAGGGCCGCCACGCTGCGTCCCAGATTCTACCTCAGGGGCAGTTCTGCTGCCAGAGAACGGTCAGAAAAAAGGCAAAAGTAGTAGCCTCCCCCACAAAGTGACAGCTGAAGAGGACAGCTTAGTGGTGGGAACGGTACCAGAAAGAGGGAAGCCAGGTGACGTGATAAGGCTCGTTGTGGAAGTGGTTGTGAAAAACTGCCAGTGCTGGAGGGCACAGGAAGAGCCTTACTGCGGCTCATGACATAACCAAAGGTGTATTTGTTCAGGGTATTTTTCCCCACTCCATCTGCACATATTTTTCTGTTAAAGTTACAGAAAAGAAATTGTTATTGGGAACCTTCTTATTCTTTCCACAGACAGACTTATTGTTATAACACTTTCCAATCATATGTTTCTTAGTGCCATGGTTTAGATGCTTGTGCCCCCACCCCCGGTTAGATGTTAAATCCCAACCCCCGAGATGACAGTACTAGGAGGGGAGGCCTTTGGGAAGTGATTCAGTCACCAGGTCAGAGCCCTGTGTGAGATTCAGGGAAAGACATCACAGATGAGCCAGGAAATGGGCCCTCGCCTGACCCTGAATGTGTCAGCACCTTTATGTTTGTCTTCTCAGCCTCCAGGACTGTGAGAAATAAGTTTCTGTGATTTATAAGAAACCCAGTCTATGGTATTTTATTATAGCAGCTTGGATGGATTAGGACATTTCAGAATGCAGCTGCTATAGCTGAAGTTATATATGTTGGCTAGAACTTGTACATTTGCATACATTAGATAGGATTTATGTAATTATGTAAGTTGGGTATAAACATAAGTGATACTGGACTGCTATATTACACTGTGATCGCTCTAAGTGTTCTCATTCTTTCAACAAATTGCTTATTGAGTTACACTTGTGTGACATAATTTAGGGAAGTGTAGTTCCTAGGACACAGGGGTATTCATGGTGGACAAAACTCCTGGCTGTCTAGTGCTTAGAATTCAATGGGGCAGATGATAACAACAGAATGTTATCATGTCAAAAAAATGTAGTAAGAACATCTACCACAAGAGCTACCTCTTAGCGACTTTTGAGTGTCTAATACATTATTAACTGTAGGTATGAGGTTGTACGGTAGACCTCTAGAGCTCATCCATCTGCTGGACTGAAATTTTGTGCCCACTGACCAGTAACTCCACGTTACCCTTCCCAGCCCTAAGTGAACCCCATCTGCTCCTGACTGTAGATTTAACTGTGTTTATGGCAGCACGAGCCACAACCCTAAGTATCGTGAGACAGATGGGTGGAAGGACAGGAAGTGGTGTGCAAACAACAGAGCACTGCTCAGGTCTTAGAAGGAGGGGAATCCGCCATTTGTGACAACACAGACCGAAATTTGAAGACATCTTGCTACCCGAGACAAGTCAGTAACAGGAAAACAAGGATCATGTCATTCCCCTTACATGAAGCATGCACTGAGTTATTTTTGTAATCACAAAAAGGACAGATTTTTTAAGAGATAGAAAAGATTGTACTAATACCAATAGTGGTGCCAACACCAATCAGGATATCGAATGCCTGTTGGAATTGTGCATACCATTTTCTTGTCTGTAGCACCGGCAGCTGTTTTTGAGGATGTCCTAAAATCTGACGTGTGTTTCATGGAAATAATACAAAGACTTTTTTCCCTCTTCTTCTTGATGTTAGAGGCAGAGTCCTTATAAGACCTGAACTTCTGACTGTGTGAGGACACATTCTAGACCCAAAGGGTCTGACCTTTTAGTTAGCTGAAGAACCCAGTGAACACAGTGCAATTGGGGTGATAATCTCAGAATTTTCTCCCTCTTTTTGCTAGAAACTGTGTCACCTGGCATTCTTCATGGGTAAAAGAACCTTCTGCATGATGATTTTGTCCATCTTCTTTCCATAAATGCGAGGCAGCCAAATGTTTCTCTTTTGTCAATGCTTTCTTTCACCTGTCAGGTCATCTTTGTTTGAAGATTTGCTTGATGTCGTAAATCACTTTTCTGGGGGCCAGCCTTGCTTTCTGGGTGGCCGCACGCCTGCCTGCCTGCCATGCTCAAGGCGCCGGGTCTGGGTGTATGGGCACAGGTGGCGGGGCAAACCTGTCCCTCAGAGAGACCCCTTCAGGTGTCTCAGCCCTTCTAATGCTGGGCTGGGCAAGCTTCTTTTGTGTGAATGCGGACTCCAGAGAACACGATCCTCAGAATTCAGGAAGAACTAACCCTTGCTAGAAACCCTGACAGCGAAACTGGTCAGAAGACCCTTTCAATTAAGCTGTCTGCAAGTTTAGAAAGTTTTGAAGTACCAGGAACTTTCTTTACCTGGGATATTGAGGGAGTCCTGTGAAAGGCCCCATGTGAAGGTCAAGGGAGATGTTATTTCAGTTATTCATATTCCAGGCAGGCTTAAATCCAATGTATACTCCTGAAAGTCTTTCTTATTTTTTACCAAGCACAGTTTTGATGTGGTTTCCCTTAATCCTGTTTCCACTGTGGATTAGGTAAGAAGGAGTAACTTTTCTTTTGTGGGCACATTTGACTTTGTGGGGCTTGTGGTTGGAAAAATATCAAAGTCTGTGATTACTTCCTGCTCCTCCCAGGGTCAGAGTGAGCAGGACTGGTGTTTGGATCCAGGTGCTGCTGATGCTAGTGAGGGCTTGTGATGCTCGTGGGGCCAAATGCAGAGCCACAGCCTCCAGGCTAGGGTGTTGGTGAGTGACAGGAGGAGGGAACTGTGATTCTTAAAACTGCAGCGTCTATTCAGAGCAGTAATGGAAGCAGTTGGCAGATTCTATCCAGAAAGAGCAGTTTTAGAGCTGTGTTCAGATTTTCATAGAGAAGGAGTTCTTAGAATATGTTTACAGGATATAGAAGTTATAAGCAATAAGGATGGGGAAAATAAGTAGATTTCTTGCATGGCTGCTTGGCTAAAATTTCATAAAACAAGTGTTATCTACAAGAACATTTTAAAAAGCAAGGTGATTCATCATAAAAACTGTGTCCTCAAGATGCCAAACAAATGGTCACAGTTGGAGGTAAAACAACCAGCAGAGCTGGTCATGGATCCCAACACCTGAGACTTGGAAATAGCCTTGGCTGATTGACCAGCTGTGGATGATATTTAGTGAATGCTAACTACATTGTCATATTTAACACGTGCTACAGTTTATAAAATAGATGTTACTATGTTTCCATGTTGTAGAAAAGGACATGAGCGGCAGGCAGGTTAGATAACTTCACCAGGGTCTCCGAGCGAGGCAGTGGTTTAATTGGGTTTTGAAACTAAGCATTATCTACGGCCATAGCACCCTGAACACACCCGAGCTCATCTGAAATGAAGCATTGTACCTAATGATGACTGAACTGGACCTGTATTAAGGATAGGTCTGTGACTGTCTCCTTGCTCCCCAGCAAACCGGCTGGAGAAATTCACGAAGCTCTGGCTGCACCCTTCCCACACGAGGGCCAGCTCCTGAGAAGTCCGTCCCAGCTCTAGCGTTATCATTCGCACCGATTGCCAGAACTATTTAGTTATGTTTTGGCTTCTGGGTAGTAGCCTGACTGCAGGTCTATCCACTCTGGAAACAACTGAGCTGGGCTATTTTTTCCTTTATTTATGGTTTGTCATCATTGCCAGCAAATTTTTCTGAAGAGTGCATTTAAATATGCCACACTTGTATTATTGTATGTGCATTCTGGGAGAATTTATGATAAATCAAGTTTTTAGGCTCCCTCTGGGAAAGTGCTGACGGAGAAATACATTTGAAGAAAACTTTTCTCGTAGCAGTAGTTCCTTGAGGAAATGGGCTCCATTTATCTTTCCAGCACTCATGTGAGAGGAATACAGACCACCCAGGATCGTGGTCTTGCATATCAGAAAAGGAGAATGCAGTGCCTAAATTTAACTCTGGGCTTTTTCAGGCAACTGCGTTGTGTGATACAAGTCCCTTGCCTGACCCTGCAGCCCTTGTCCTCTATCTTTCAAGCCTGGGGAAACCAGCAAATGCCTGCTTTAGGTTCCGCCTTCGACCTGGACTAATTAACTCCCTTCTCATTGCTGTAGGGGGCTGTCTCCGTTCTCCCCTGGTTACCAAGCGCACATTCCCGCCCTCTAGCAGATTGAAGTTACTTTCTTTGAAACACCTTTTCTGTTTTTTTTTTCTCCACGATCTAAATTAGCCCCTAATAGTTATCTTTACTACTTTCTCTCCCTCACCTTGTGACCATTTGTAATTATGTACTTGTTTGTGTGACATTTGTTTGATGCCGGTCCCTTTACAAGATATTAAGGGCGTGTGGGATAATACATTGCTTGAACAAGTGCCGTGCTGTGTGGGTTCAGGACACTTGCTAAAGGAAAATGCTTCTCTTGGGCTCTCTGATGGAAACATATGTGTAGCTTGCTTATTGTATTTTTCCATTGATCTTTCTGTCCCTCTCTTCCCCCTTTTCCTCTCTCTCCCTCTTTAAACTGTGAGCTCATTGGTATAAATGTTTGCAATCCCCAGTGACCACCATAGTGGCTGGCACATGTTAATTGTTCAATAAAAGAAAATTAAGTTGGATAGGCCTTTCGTGACTTAAACTTTTAACAACATGGTTAGAAAACATTTGAGTTCCAGTAATTAACATTTAAAGCACCCATTAAGTGTAATACTCCATGTGTGTATATAAATATGTGTGGACAGATGGTCTGGAAAGGAAGGCAGACGTGCTTTGGGATGACTACACAGCGTTACCAGTTCAGTGAAAGCATCGGATAGGAGCGCAGAGGACAGGGAGGTAGGTGCCCCACCCCTCTGGATGGTAGAGGCTCAGAACCGGAGTGGTGCAGCCTGCACCCATGTGGGCTGGGTGCTAAAGTACTGACAGAGGATGTGATCTGTCTGCAGCCTGACGTCACCAAGTCGCAAAGCAGAAGGCAGGATGCGAGGGACGCGAGGCTGGAGGAGTGAGTCACACGTGACAGTCAGAGATACCCACCTGGAAAGTTCATGTCTTTCTTCTATGCTTTTCTCTACACTCTGGTCATTGTAATTGCTGGAGTTTGGCTAGTGAGACCAGGACCTGTATTATGGGATGCAGGAAAATTTACAATGTATTTATTCATCCCTTCCGTGAATGTTTCTTTAGTATTTACAAAGTAGAAGCTCAAGGGATAGTACAGACTGAAGTAAGGTCATGTTCACCTTCCCAGAGTTCAGTATCATGAGGAAGACAAATGAACAAAGAGTAAAATGCGAGGGAATAAGTAGGGCAGCAAAGGTCAGTGGTTCTCAGGGCTCCATCATTCTCCCGGGTACCGCTGAGGATCCCCAAAACTCTTGTTGGTGAGGGTTACACCTATCAGTATTTATTATGTCACAAATGCCAGAGATTTACTAATTAAAGTCATAAACCAATTCCATGTTAATGTAACCTATCATATTTATATAAAGTTTAATGAGAAGAGTGTCATTGTTTTACAGTTTTTACAAGTCTCCGTGTCTGGATTAGTGGGTGTTAGGTTCTCCAAAATATCGGCTTCCGCATTCAGCTGGTTGCCATATGTTATTTTCACTGAAGTATATAGGGGAGAAACAAGCCTTACACAGTTACGGAGCTGGAAAAGGGGGAATATTTTATTAGCTTTTTAAAATAATTGTGGGTATTTTTCTTTCACACTGCCCTAAATCCTGCCAAGTTGTAGTTTCTTAAAAGTTATTTGTAATGTGGAATCTGAAACCAGTCACCTTTATTGTACTGTGTCACACAAAATTTACTGGTCTTATGCTTTGAATGGATCTTTTACTCAGGTCCTTGCACTTGTGAAGCAGGCGACGAAACCACTGAGCTAAATCTCCAGCCCTTGAATGGATCTTTTAACCAAGCCTTATTTCTTAGCATCAGACATTAGTCACTTGGAAAATGCTGCTTATTGAATACAGTACAGATGCATCTCAGTGTAAAGCATCAAGTCTTAATGCAAACAGAGTAACAGTGTAAATGTCACCAACCATCAGGAAGGTCATTCGTAACACTACTGATCTCATCAGAAGAGTCTTGAAGTACTGTCAGACGCATCACATTTCCCTAATTTCTACGTTTTGCTTGAAAATGTAGCTTTCATCACCAACAATAAATGCCATGAAGTGTTTTCTTTCAAGGGAGTAGTGAAAAAAAGAGCAAGGACTCCATTTCACTCACTTTCTAGACAGTATCTGCCAGCACCCATGCCTGGATGGACAGGGTTTGTGAGTCACCCTAAAGTGGCAGTGACAGTCCATGAGAGAGCGAGTCATCCGGCTGCACTCTGATCACTCGATCTTGCAGACACCCAAGTGGAGAAGCACAGGACTTCATGTTTTCTCCCTATTTTGTCACCTAATTAAAAAAATAATGTGTAATGAAAGGTCAAGTATCATAAAAGCTAATCAGTGCTTTGCCATTAGGTTATCAAGTGTATTCTTAAGTGAAACGAGTCTCCTTTTGTTTAATGTTTTAAAAAAGAATATCTGCGAGTGTGTGCTCCTGAGGAATGTAACAGCTGTGGGCACCGTTTGGTGCCGCTCCACTGTGTAGGCCAGGGCTTCTCAACGTCAGGCCCGTGGTCAGAACACTCACTCCAGGGTAAACCCACAGGTTAAGGAAAAGTGACGTGCGGCTTTGACTATTTCCACACCACGTCTGTTGTCAAACATTCGCGTAAAATATGATCTTCTCTGGTGAATGGTTGGTGAGGGCAGTGGACAAATACAAGCAAAATGCTCATGTTCATATACTCTTCCATCTGTAGGACAAAAGTACAGTTCTGCAGAAAAGGCATAGCAGTCGAGACAATTTTTAGTTCAATAAGTTACTGTATTGTTGGAAAGCAGCAGGATGAACCTCCTGTGCTGGCCCTTTGTCCAGCAGGTGTCCTGCAGCATAATTGTACAAAGCTCTCTTGTCTGTGTGCTGTATCTCCTTGCCTAGCTGATGCGGTGCAGTGACTTTCCCTGCAAGCTGTGTCTGGGCCTCTAGTTTGAAAGATGTAAATAATCAGTTTAGTCTTTAGGAGCTCATTGCATCTATGTTTAAAATGTTTAAGTTCTTTATTTTTAAACTGCTTCATTTCCAATATGTTTTCTTGCATCTTCCTGTTTATTAAGGGTGAATTAGAATGCCAATCTGATTCTGAATACAGATATTGTTCCTAGTAAGTTTCTGCCTTTCCCTACTAAATACATGTTGAGTAAGTATTCAAAGGATATTGGTTTAACACACCTTGAGCCTACCCTAAGCCAACTCAGCAAGTATGAATGAGGCAGAGCCACTGCCCCAAGGTGTGGGTCGGGATGAATCTTTTTCTTCCAGATAGCAATAATGTATCTGCTCACTTCTACCTGGTGCTCAGCTCACTGGCTCCCAAACCCAGGTGTCCAGTTGAGGTGAGAGCAACAGCTTTGGCTATAGAATGAAGACCAGATGGCTGTCCTGTCTGCTACTGCCTCTCCCCACCGGAGTCCCTGTCACTGACCTCAGATGTAGCAGGCAGTTGAGGCTGAGTGTGATGTAGCAACCTAAAGAGTGGACTTCACTATAGTAGCGTGGACTGTTAGTACAGGAGGGTTTCGCAGCCACCCAGTGTGCAGTTACAGGGAAATCCTGTAGGCTTAGAGAATGTGCAGAGTTCAACTGCAACTGATAGAGGGACACCTGTAATTAACAGGCTAATTCTTTGAAACTGAAATAGGAGAAAACTTGCACGCTAACTTGCTGGGCAAGGTTCTCGCTACAAGAAGAACGACAACTATCTAGTTTGATTGCCACAATAACAAAAAGATCACAACACAAGTGGCCACAAGGGAAGGCACTGAGCCCTTCTGCCAAGGAGCATTTTCCACTCTCACCTGTGTGCAGCTGGGGTTGATAGTATAACCGCAGGAAAAGTCACATATGACATAATCCTTTTGTTTGTTTCTTCTTTTAGTCAGTGGTTCTCCAACACCACCGTGGATAGGAATCATCCTGCAAGGGCTGGGGCTGGGCTCAGTGACAGATCACCTAACATGCACGAGGCCTCAGGTTTCCCTGAAAGGAGGGAAAACTTATAAGAAAGCATTACCATGCAGGTGCAGGTATAAATAAAAGAAATTTAAGATATTCAAGCCATTTTAAGCAATATTTGCTGGCTTTGAAAGCTAACTTTGAATGAGATGAAAATCTATTATTTCAATGCATGATAATAGTAATTAACACATTTAGAGTCTTTTCTAAATGAAAATTTTGAAAATAAACTTTAAAAAATGAAATTGAAATGTGTTTTGGGAAAACTCTAGAAGCTAGTGTTGTACTATACTAAGCCCATTGCTAGTCTCGTGGTATTTTAAGGGGCTGATTCATAATTGCATTCTGTATATAAGTACGCTTTCACTCTTTTCTTCCCTGTCCTTTTTATAGTCCAGTGAAATACCTGACTTGCTTTTCTTCCCTCCTTTCCCACCCTAGGGCACTGCTATGAGCTCACCCGCCCCAGCCACCTCTCACAGTGTCTTATTTTGTGCTTTAATGTGCAGGCAGATCCTCCCCTCCTTCCTCTGCCTGAAACTCACCCCCCAACTGCTTTTTCCCACCTGGCAAACAGCCTCACTGGATTCTGGGTGGCAGCCACTAAGCAGACTTCAATACGAATGCTCCTGTCCAACAGAGCACCGAGTTAGGTGAAGAATAAAGGCAGTCTGGCTTCAAAGGGAGCTCCAGTTTCTGCAAGAAGGGGTTTCACACAACTTCGGCTAACAACCACCACCACCTCAGGGGAAGAAAAGGCCCTGACTACAAAGAAATGCCAGATAAGCAGTCATCAGCCTTCCTTTCTTCCTCTGGGGGGTTCAGCACAAAACCTGGGCAGGACAGCAGTTCTTTGATGGTCATTTGGACCCTGACCACCACTAGTTCCACTTCTGCCTCACGTCTCAGGAACTCACGGCGATCTGCGTGCTCTGTGGGCACCGAGGCTTAGAGTTGTGCTGTGCACGGGCACACACGCCCCCCCACACATACTCACATGCTGTAGAATGGAACTGGTTGGCTGAAAAGATCCTGGCAACTTTCCAGTAATTACAGGCCAAGCCATGTCTCTCTGTCTCTGCCTCCATCTCTGTCTGTCTCCTTTTTTTTTTTTTTTTTTTTTTTTTTT